AACAACCATTAAATAAACTAAAACATAAGATAAAGACATAAACTGACATTATATTTCTTGTTTAATTCATTTCCTTTGCATGTATAATATCTTCATGTATAACCAACTGTACTTTCCATTTTTCTCTCTAATGTGTTTGATACAGGCACTGAGAATGTGGAATACAAAGGCAACTCCTGGCATGATGAGTGTTTCACCTGCTATCAGTGTCAAAAGCCAATCGGCTCCAAAAGTTTCATATCAAAGAACAACAACATCTACTGCACCCCTTGCCACGAGAAGAAATTTGCCAAACAATGCGCTTGCTGCAAGAAGGTGAAAGATTTAGTAGAATTAATGGATTTTTAAGGATTACTTTTAAAGTGGTTGATTTCTTAATATTCTGTCAACACAAAACATGTTCTTTTATAAAATAAAGATGTTTTATGATAATAATCGTATTGCTTCCACATGTTTTGTCCTCCAGCCCATTACCACAGGAGGTGTGAATTACCAGGACCAGCCGTGGCATTCAGAGTGTTTTGTGTGCTCCTCCTGCCGAAAGCCTCTGTCTGGCACCCGCTTCACCTCCCACGAGGAAAAGGTCTACTGTGTGGATTGCTACAAAAGCACTGTGGCTAAAAAATGCAGCAGCTGCCAGAATCCCATTACAGGTTTGATTCCACACACGCACAATTCTCGACGTTATGCATTCTTCTTGAACGTTGTGTATTTGACTTGAACTAAAGTGACAAATAAATCTACTATTTTCTCATCCCACAGGATTTGGCAAGGCTACGAATGTAGTGAACTATGAGGGCGGCTCTTGGCACGATTACTGCTTTAACTGTAAGAAGTGCTCTCTCAATCTGGCAGACAAGCGCTTTGTAGCTCGCAATGGAGACATTTACTGCTCTGACTGCTCCAAGAAACTGTAAGCGCCTGCTCACCGTGGAGACAAAAAGAGTGAGATTAATTCAGAAAAAAAATGGCAGCATTCATTTTGAATTTATACAGAAATCCCACATAAATATGTGGAAGTATTGACAAAGGCTTCTGTTATGTTGGTTCTGGCTTCTTTATGAGGGGAGTTTGATATTTCCTGTGAGAAATGTTACGTTTACCTAGAGGCTTTGATGGGAAAACTTATCCTCTCTCTTTCCAAAGGCCCGTTTGTCGTGGGAAAGATAGTGAGACAGGATGACTGATGGATAATGAAGAGAGGTGTGTGTTTGAGACATATGACCGGTACATCTGTGTTCCAGAACGACTTGTTTCATTGTATTAAATTACACTTTGTGTTGATAACTTTTAAATCTGTAACAGCTTGTAATTGTGGCTGCTGAACCTGTCAGTACTATGTGTATCTTTTAGATTGCTTCCTTGTGATTTGAAATACTAATTATACATTTTTTTGTAATTGTCATAAAAAACAATACTGGAAAAATGAAAATGCGTAGCTTTTGTCGCTCTCTTTACTTACACATTCTCCTTATTGTAGATTAACATTCAAAAAATACGTATTTTACCTTTGTATGATCTGAGAAAAAAAATTAATAAAGTTGAGATTCTGACAAAACTTCTTATGTCATTTGAATTTGCCATGTCTTTTTTTTCCATAAAACAGCGACATCTAGTGGCATTATGTAGCTCAGAATCAGTAAATGTTTGATCATTTCAAATCAGTATGCAGACTTTAAAAACCTCAAAAATATGCTTTGTTTTTAAATAACAGTCTCTTGTTCATTTAACTGTACCTTTAAAACATGCTATAGAATAAAATGTTTATTTTATTATATATTGTCCAGCATCTTCTAGAAATACATGCGGTCGCTGGTCCTCTAATTCGGTAGGTGGCGTTGTCACTAATAACCTAGGATCCTAGAAATGCGGTCCTAAGACTGGGAGATTCCTGAAAATGCAGCCTCCGGTATTGCAGGTAGATGCTACTCCAAAAAGCCATGCAAAATGTAACGAGTAATTGCATTACTCATCACAAATGTATTGGAGTAAATAGTACATATTCAAAAATGTAGTCAAGAGAGTAAAAGTTGCTACTATCTTTGATACTCAATCAAAATACAAAGTAGCCAAAAAGATACTAAAGTAACTAATGACATTTAGCCTACTCAAATACTTTACACCACTGTTGTAATGTAATTTTCCAAACTCACCAATGTATACAGTGGTGAGTTCAAGAGCATTGGTATTACAATTAGGCAGCAATTAGGGGAATTAGGGGAAAAATCGAAGATAACGTCAGTAGACTATGGAGTGCCGCAAGGATCAGTGTTAGGCCCTCTGCTATTCTCAATATATATGCTGCCACTTGGTAATATTATAAGAAAACATGGAATTAATTTCCACTGTTATGCCGATGACACTCAATTATATATTTCATCACGGCCAGATGAAAACACTAACTCATCAAAATTGACAGAGTGTCTTAAAGATATAAAATGCTGGATGACGCATAATTTCCTGCTACTAAATCCAGATAAAACGGAGGTATTACTTGTTGGTCCAAAAAACTATCCACAAAACCACTTACAATACAACTTTAATATAGAAGGATGTCCTGTTACTTTATCCTCTACGGTAAAAGACCTGGGAGTTATACTAGACCACAACTTGTCTTTCGAAAATCATATTTCATATGTTACAAGAACGGCCTTTTTCCATCTTAGAAACATTGCTAAATTACGTAACATGCTATCTGTTTCCGATGCAGAAAAGTTAGTTCATGCATTCATGACCTCGAGACTAGATTACTGTAATGCTTTATTAGCCGGTTGTCCTGCATCCTCAATAAACAAGCTACAGTTAGTGCAAAATGCAGCCGCTAGAGTTCTTACTAGGTCAAGAAAATATGATCATATAACACCGATTCTATCATCTCTGCACTGGTTACCTATCAAGTTCCGTATCAATTACAAAGTACTATTACTGACCTATAAAGCCCTAAATGGTTTAGCTCCTGTGTATTTAATGGACCTTCTATCGCCCTACAATCCATCGCGTTCTTTAAGATCACTAAATTCGAGGCTTCTAGTCATTCCTAGGATATCTAAGTCCACTAAAGGAGGGAGGGCGTTCTCACATTTAGCTCCTAAACTCTGGAATAGCCTTCCTGATATTGTTCGAGGCTCTGACTCGCTGTCCCAGTTTAAAACTAGATTAAAGACGCATCTTTTTAGCCAAGCATTTACATAATGCTTACCTTTTATTATACTGCTGAATCAGATCAAATGCATTTAATACTATAAAACTTGAAGAGACTGTAGGTTATCTGTATAGGTTGCATAGTATTTGCAGTCATTACGTTCCTGTGTATATTGCGTGAATGACGGGTGGTTGGGCAGATATTGTGTTGCGGTAGGTGGTATGCCATACGGAACCGTTGTCCACTGAAACTGCCTATTCACGCACCAGTGGGGCTCGACAGCCTTAGTCAACGGGTTGGCGCGTATGGTTGGGTTGCGGAGAGATTGTGAAATTGTGGTTAGGTCTCAGCAGCAGGAGGGACGTAGAGGTCAGTAAGCTGGGCTGAGTTGAGTGGGGGACGGAGGGGGGTGATTTTGGGACGCAAGAGTCACTGTCTTCATGTTTTGTCTTTTACGCCTGTGTTATGGAAATCATCATTATGAACAGCAGCTACGCTAATTATTTTTCCTTTGCTTTTCTGCTGTTATCTCGGGACGCGAGTCCCGAGAAAATGGCGTTCGTCAGCTCCAGTTTGTATCCAGCCTCTCACGGAGACTTCAGATGCTCCAATCACAAAGCCTATGAAGTGACGACTCAACACGGGCGATATGGACTCTCTATGGTGGACGCCACTGATCCTCAACAACTCGTCTTAAGACTGGCGTGCATACTTGGACTTCCAAAAAAATACTCTAAATGTTCCGATCCAATCTGACTTGTAATGCTGCCCGAATCATGCACTGTTCCTTCGTTGGCCAGAGGAGAACTGGCCCCCCGACTGAGTCTGGTTTCTCCCAAGGTTTTTTTCTCCATTCTGTCACCTGATGGAGTTTTGGTTCCTTGCCACTGTTGCCTTGGCTTTTGGCTTGCTTAGTTGGGGACATTTAACATTTAATATTCAATAATATTATTGATCTGCCTTACTTAAGGTGGACGTTGACGCAATTTCTTTTAGAAACAAACTTTGTTATATTGTTATATTGTTTTTGTTATATTGTTTTCATGTTATCACTGTGAAGCGCTTTGATACAATCTGTATTGTAAAAAGCGCTATATAAATAAAGGTGACTTGACTTGACTTGACAATTAGTACGGTCATGGATAAAGTTCTTTGAATTTTGACATCATCATAAGTGATTTACTGGCCAGCAAAAACAAGTGCTTCTATGCAAATGTTTACATTGATGCTGACATTTTGCAAATCATTTGCTAATCATATAACAACTATATAATTTAGCTGCACTTGGCTTTATGAAGATGGTGTTCAGTGCATATGTACACAATCACTGGATGACACATGTCATGGCTAATCTGAATAAGTGGATGATCGATGAGCTTAATGAATAACTCAATAGGACGACAGGGGAACTTGTAAAGATGAACAAGATCTCTCTCATTGTCATACCTTTCACATCAAACTACATACATGTTGATGTACAGTTACTCTCTTAAATGACGAAATCACCTACATGGAAATTTGACACTAGCACATATTGAATGTGGTGAGTAAGTATTGTTTCATTTTGCTTGCATTCTGTTACATCTAAATTTTGTTTTGCCTTGTTAAAGATACAAGAATGACTGAATAATTGATATTTGTAATGTAATGATATGTGTGTGTGTGTATATATGTATATATCTATCTAATTGCAATATGTTCAATAAATGATACATGGTTTGTATGGAAAATGCTGACAAAACTCGTTTAGACCGTTTGCAGTGGAGTTTGTCTTAGAAATAAACCATTTTCTGCTTCCATGTTTTATCTTTATGTGTAATTTTATTTCTCACCTTTTGTCAGGCGGAGAATGGAAAAACGCAGTAAACAGGTTAAGGCTTCATTCATCGTCCTCATTCTATGTATAATAACATTGAACAATGGAGGTATTATTGTTGTGCAAAATATTTTACCATTCACAATTTGTTATGTTTTGTTGTTTTGTTATGATTTACATCATTTCATTTTACACCTGAGGTTCAGTCAAATATGACAGTCTGTGGGGGAAGAAGGTGGATTTCATGCAGAAGGACTGTAAATACTGGCTGCTGAAAAATGAACACAAAATCCCTGACCTGAAAGAGCTCAGTGTGTGTGTGAACATAAAGAGGAAGATCAGCAACTCGCACTGGACCGCATTCACGTACCTGCACCCTGATAAGACACGCATAGAGCTAGGGATGAAGGGCTCTGGATCAGAACTATATATCATAATGTTTGGAAGAGTCTGGACCAAATCTTCCGTGGTGTCCTTGGATAACTGGCATTCAGTTTGCATGACCTGGTCCAAGTCTATGACTGAGCCAAAAGTATATGTTAACGGATCCAAGGTGGACTTAAAGGCACAGTCTAAAGAAACGGCTCTCGACCCTGATTACCATAGTGTGGCCGCAGGTGGCACTTTGACTTTAGCTGTGGCCCACAATTTTTCGAAGGGCGAGATGAACATTGAAACAGGAAAAGAACTGAAGGGAAGTTTAAGTATGTTCAGGGTGTGGAAACGTGAACGCAGCGCTGAGGACATTTCAGGGTTGACCTGCACTGATGGGGATGTTCTGCATTGGGAGGAACAAATCTGGGACAATGTCATGGACTGCAAGCCTACACTAGACATTACTCAACAGTGTGGTAAGGGACACAAATGCACACACCAAATTTGTTATTGATAGGACATATGTGGCACTTTCCACAAATAGGGTACCCTGTAAAAAAAAAAGTATTGAAATATATATGAAATAAAATAATAATTCATGGGAATGTCCAAAAAAAATGTCCATGTATATTTAATTATTTACTTGAATAAGCGGGATAATGCCAGGCTGATGAGGTGACCTTGAGGTCCCTAACGTGGAGCATTTGGTAAAAAACAATGTCAGTAATTACTTAAACGTTCTGGGAATGTTCTCTTTAGGTTATTTAAAGAGAACCTATAAGTATTATTTGGTTCCCAAAAAAAATGACCAAATGGGAAAGTTAGGGGAACATTCTCTGTTTTTCTGGGGACAAGGTTGAACGCTCGTGTATTACGAAATCAACAGTCTAGTTTGTGTAAAATGAGAAATTGGAATAATATTACTTGCTTGTCTCTCTGCTACTTTTTATGTTAAGCAATAGATTATCAAATATAATAGGGCCACAAAAAAATTATTTTTGCTTCTAATGTTTTCAAAAATAGAGTTCCCTATTTATGAAAAGTGCTAGTATGTATTGGCTGAAGTAATTAAATGATGTCTATTTAAACAAAATTAAATTATGTTTGCTAAATTGTGTCCTATTCAATATGTACAGTAGTATATGCCATGCCACCTTTATTGGTCTTTTTTATGCCTCACACAATTTCCTTGTTTCAGACTGGCGTTATTATGAAGTAAAATTAGTGTTTATCATCCATCGTGAAGACGGAAACAAAACAAGCACTGAGGATGCTAGAGAAGTTGCAGATCAGTGGGTGAGCTACAACAAAACGCATATTGAATTTTTACTGCTATTAGTACAAGACAAAATGTCAATAATATTTGTATATTATTCTCTCCAAGTTGACACAAGTAATCAAAGACTTAAAATTGTGGGAGACAAACATATATTTGAACAAAGTCCTTGTGCAACCTTTAGGAGGGTAAGATACTGTAATATCTCTCTAAACACAGTACAAAAGTTTTCAGGCCAGAATCTAAATTTACTCATGTTGTCTTTCTACAGCTTACACACACCCTCCAGTAGAAATGCAGAGGTGCGTCAGTAGCATTAAGACTGTACAAAATAAAAATCTACATGCTCATCAAACTAACAAGATTTCTCTCTTCAGGAGGGAACCATGCAATTGTTGGCGACAAGTCCTGGAGTCAGCCAGTGAGGATTTTTCATATTTCATCTTTTTCACCTCTAAACGATTTTCACAATCTGAAAGAGTTTTTTAAATACCATTTGTGCTTTTCGTACATTGATTTTGGTATATTGAAATGATCACGTATTCACAAATTATCTTTAAAAACCCTGCATTCTTATTAATAAGAAATTTTGAAAGTAAACACCTGCAATTTGTCGCCCTACGGCACAAGCGGACTGACTACTGATAATGTCATTCTTGTGTATCTTCATAGGTTTGACTGTTTGGCTCACCTGAATGTGATTCCTAGTGTTGATGTAGGAAAAATTCAGGATGAACTTTCCGAGATCCTTGCCAAGCGTTACAAAATAGACCACTACGAAATAATTACAAGTCCTGAAGCCATCTTCATATACCCTCTTGGTAAATCAGATAGTACTCCAAGGAAATAAGCATAATCTCCATCCAAATCAACAATTTTCCACAGTCAAGCATGTTTTCTGATGTATAGCTAACAAGTACCAGTGCAGGTATGCATGTTTTCAATGATCTGATCTCTCTTTAGAGGATCTCTTACCAGACACAACTACACCAATAACAGCGACGGTGTCTTTGCCTCGTACAACTGAAACACTAACAACCACAACTTCTCAGCCGATGCCTGTGACTACTCAAATCTTGACTACTGCAAAAACAACAAGCACAACACCCATACAAATGGAAACAACAACAGCAGTTGTTTCATCCTCCACTGAAACAAGTCTGTAGAGACAGAACAGTAATATGCATTCTGTATATGCAATTCTAGATACACACAGGATTCTCTGACTGTTTTTCACTACATGTTTTCAACAGTCGCTATCTCCACACCATTCATGGAAACAACGCTGGCAGAAAGTTCCTCGACAATTAAAGACACAACAGTTTTATCCTCCACAAGCCTTACATTAAATACAACTACATGCTCTTCTACAGTTTCACCTGAAGGAATAATATCGGGTAAAGAATTACAATATCAAAACAAAAAAATTTTTTACAATTACTGAAGTGTGGCATATTTATTAATGTCTCTGTCCTGTAAATAGATAGTTATTTCAATGTCAACGTCAATGTGACTATAAAAGGCTCTGGTGACCCTAAGAAAATAATTGAAACCTGGGTAAGATCTCAACAAAGTAAACCTGAATTTATCCAGACGTGTTGTATGTCAAACTGGAAACAGGTATCATATCTCAGTTGTGTTTTTTATCATCATTACAGCTTAATGAAACTCTTTCTAGTGAAGGAATATCTGTGTTGCACTTCAAACTCGTGACCTCTTCAACACATGCACGAAAACGAAGGTTAGTCAGTCTTGTTATATTGCAGAGAAAAGACCCAATCCCAAGACACACTATTTTATTTTAAACATGCATGTCTGATTTGTGTTTGCAGTGTGGAAACAAAATCATCCAAAGTGGTTGGAAAGGTACGTGCTATATCTATCTATCTATCTATCTATCTATCTATCTATGTTTCTCTTAGATACACAAAATAACTATATTTCCTATTATCTTGTTCATTTGTTTCGCAGCATCCCCAGCTCTCAGAAACAAGGTGAGATCTTTATTACAAGATCTCAACAGCAATTGAAGAAAAGTAAACAATAGTGAATAATAATTGTTATGAACATACAACATGATTTAATGTGGTTATCTGATATGGCTTGTTCCCAGCCATAGATGTGTCTTTCATGCTCAGGTAACAACTTCCTCAAACATAGTAGACACACAAAAACAGATTCACCTGCTTCTGGAGCAACCATACACCAGTGGATCAGTATACTTGGATGCCCAACCTCAGGACATTTTTATTTCTTATATATGTATGTGCTACATCTGAAGAAATAAAATCTGATGATGAGGGGATCAGATCATGATTCATTCTCAGTACAACTCTCTTCATCTCCAAAAACAGGGCCATGTCCTGAACACAACCATCACACCAGACAGGGGCTTTTTAAATGGCCCCAAGTTGGGGTTCAACGCATCACCTCACTCTCCTGTAAAGGAAACCCTGAAAAGACAGCATACAGGGAATGGTAAGAGCCTCTCTTGTAAATCTCTTGCAAATAATTCCATTTTACTAAAACAAAATTGATGTTATAAATTGCTTCAAACCCAAAAGAACATGAAGCTTAATGGTAAAGTGTGTAATTTCTGCAGCATACAGCATCAAACATTTAGAATAATTCACGCCTTTCCCAGCTAAGTATTGTTTTCCCAACATTCCCATTTAGTTATGAAACATTATTTTTTTTAAAGTTCTGGGAAGTTTTAAGAATTATTTTCCGGGCTTATACGAACATTAATTATGGAAACTTTAAGCAGACCATCAAATTTGTTTTTCGATTAACCTTTGAGCAAATGGGCCCTATATCATATAGGCTACACCCGGCGCAGCGTCAAGCGAGACGCAAGTGTTTTTTGCTAGTTTCCGCCTGATGCCGTTATCATTTTCACGTCCTGCGCCACGTTGTTTAAATAGCAAATGCATTTGCGCTCATTTGTGCAGTATTAGGCCTACAGTACTTACAGTACTTACATACTTACAGTATTACACACACAGGGACGCGCAGCAGCACACAAACATGCCAAATAAAAAAAAAGGTTTCAATTGTAAACCATTAATATTGTGTACATAGGTATGGTGGAACCGGCTTGTCCTGTAGATGTTCTGCTTGCGCGCTTTAACCTCGCGCACGAGCAGATCCGTTTGCGCTCTGGAGACATTCAGTCTTTCCGTTTGTAGCTAAAATGCGCTATGTAAAGCGAATCCGGCATGGCGCGAGCGCAACTGGCTTTTAAGGCAATGGGGAATTACCATAGGGGAACGCCTAAAACCACGGGCGTCAGTTTGGTTTGAAATGTGGTGGGGACAGAGACGCATTCGGAAGTGCATTTTCAAAAGTGCTGGGTACAAATTCTGCAGCCTGTTTAACCCGTAAATAAGTGCATCGATCCGCAAATTTTTGTTTGAGTTCTTAAATGGTCTGGTGGTAGATCTTTTGCCAAGCGTGTCAGAGGTGGCAGGTTCTAATCCGCCCTCGGTAGTTTTTTTTCTCTCAAAACTGAATAATGTTCATCAGTGGTTACAGTCTATATCAAGCAGCCAGGGACACGTTTGTGTGCATTTTATTTTGTAATTTCACCGGAATTAATATATACAGAGTCTCTCCGCAACGGCGATAGATTGAAGTGCGCGTCCGAGTGAAGACTGTGCGCGAGCCACAGAGAACACTGTATCCACGACACTGATAGCAGCGGACACGAGCGCTCAGCTTGAGTTAAAAAACAAAACATTTTAGCTAGATCTCTTATTTAAGAGCGAACTAAATGAATGCTCTGCTAGTTAACTGGAGATGTTTTATTTGTATTAGGTACATCCGACCATGCCTCAATGTTTCCAAGAGTGGTGGGTACAAAATGACTCATGACGAAATCTGGTGGGGACGCGTACCCACCGTCCCCACCGAAATCGACGCCTATGCCTAAAACACAACCATTACTCATTAAGAGAATAGAGACGACCCTTTTAGACCATGCGCTGGGCGCGCCGACCATTTTTTCCGTCGTTATAGCAAAAGTGGATTCGGACACAGTGCGGTTTCACTTGGTGCCACTATAGAGGCACAGAAATTGTATTCTTAATCTTTGATTATATTGCAATAATTGCATTAAATCATTTTAACATTACCAGTTCATAGTTGCCTTTCTGTTCTGCTTAAAGGAATAGTTCACCCAAAAATGAAAATTCTGTCAGTAATTAGCCTACTTTCCCTCATGTTGTTCCAACCCCGTAAGACTTCCGTTCATCTTGGGAACACAAATTAAGATATTTTGTATGAATTCTGGGATCGAAACTTGCCGGTCCAGAAAAGTTAGTAAAAACATTGTTAAAATAGTCCAAGTGACTACAGTGGCTCAACCATAAATTTATCAAGCGACGAGAATAATTTTTGTGCCCAAAGATCAAACAAAAATTACGACTTTATTCCACTATTCATTTTCTTCTGCGTGGGCCTCAGAGTGAGTTCACGTAGTGTCACAGCGCTACAGTTCTGTGTTGTCACCCAATGCATCACACACATGACCAGAGTCGGCCAATAGTGAGCCTACGTGGTGACTCAGATTTCAAAAATATCTTAATTTGTGTTCCGAAGATAAACGCAAGTCTTACGGGGTTGGAACAACATGAGGATGAGTAATTAGGCTACTGACGGAATTTTCAATTTTGGGTGAACTATCCCTTTAATGAGACCTTGATAACAGATATTATCTGCCTATAAATCCACTGGCAGGGTTGTTGCTCCTGATCACCAACTCTAAAAAGAGGAAGCCATTTGATTTAATATTTACAGGGGCTGCTGTAAACCAATTAATCACATGTATGTTCCATATGGTGGTATCATTAATGACAGAACTGTTTGTATGATCGATTTCATGCAGAGGTTAAACAATCTCTTGCATTTCAACAATGTTCCAGTCGTTTCAGGTTTATTTACAGCCATAAAAAGGATGGACAGGTACCCTGAACCCGAAGAGCATTATGCTGTGTATCTTGGGAGTCAGGCAGCTCTGAAATAATTATTAGAGGAATTTGATCCAAATAATTCATGGTTTGATTGATATGTTTATTGATTGTGACTGTTTCACTCGTCTCCCTAGTTTTCTGGATGCAAACTCTAACAATGCTCATTGGAAGTCTCCAGACCTGGGCCAGTGCCAGGTTGTGGTCAACAGAGTGTCAGATCTGGAGGACATTACAGTCACTAATGGTAAACCCTTCTTAGAATTCATATTAGATACACAAGCTTCCTGTTAAAGTAACACTATGTAGTTTTTCAACTTTCATAATATATTTCCAAGACCCTTGTGGCGGTACATCGACTTACAATAGGTTAAAGGACACGTCTGCCATAGCCTGACGTGGTCTGTATCGCTTTTACTTGCACTATGTAACTTCGGGTTTCGGGCAGTAACCGGAGCACAAAAAGAACTACAAAATTCGACTGCTTTACGGCATATGTCACTTCCCCCACCACTTCCTTAAATTGTCTGTGGCCATTGTTGATTCCAAAGCCGGTGCTGGATAAACAGCGAGCGTGCGCGTGCGACAGTAGGCTAAATTATTTACGACAGCGGTAATGGACAATTCCGCTTCCAACCTGTTGGGCGACCGCAGAGGAAAAGTTCCTTGGTGTTGCTTTAAAGTAAACAGAAGAAAGAAGAAGAACCATTTTGGGTTCCCCAGTTTTTAAAAGAACCATTTCCAAAATTTCCAGAACCAAAATGTGTGAAGTACATTTTAATAATCTAAAAAATAGTTTTCCACTATAAAGAACCTTCTGTGCAATGGAAAGGTTCTGTTGCTGTTAAAGGTTCTTCATGGAACCATTAATGCCAATAAGTACATTTTAAGAGTGTAGAAATCTATTTTAACACATTAGCCTCTACATCATCCTGATATATTATGTTATATGGGCATTTCTTCAAAACATTCCCTTATGCTTTTCCCTACTAGACAATGCAGAAGATATTCTGATCATTATTAAGGACTTGATGCATGAGAACAAATATCTGGATGAGTATGAGCTCTCAACGATACTGAATAAACTAGCCGATGTGATTAACGTTAGCGTGATCACACCTCCGCTGGGAGGGTTCATCCTCAACATCACATCTGACATCCTGCAGTCTAAAAGCGACCTGCTACCTTTTACCAACAGGTAGGTGTGTGTGTGTGTGTGTGTGTGTGTGTGTGTGTGTGTGTGTGTGTGTGTGTGTGTGTGTGTGTGTGTGTGTGTGTGTGTGTGTGTGTGTGTGTGTGTGTGCGTGCGTGCGTGCGTGCGTGCGTGCGTGCGTGCGTGCGTGCGTGTGTGTGTGTGTGTGTGTGTGTGTGTGTGTGTGTGTGTGTGTGTGTGTGTGTGTGTGTGTGTGTGTGGCCTGGTAAACCCTACGTTATGGGGACAAAATGTCCCCACAAGGATGGCAATATCCGAAATCCTTGTTCGTGTGGGGACATTTTTTGGTCCCCATGAGGAAATCAGCTTATAAATCATACTAAGTGATGTTGTTTGAAAATGTAAAAATGCAGAATGTTTCCTGTGATGGGTAGGTTTAGGGATAGGGTTAGTGTAAGGGAATAGAATATACAGTCTGTACAGTATAAAAATCATTATGTCTATGGAAAGTCCCCAGTGTGTGTGTGTGTGTGTGTGTCCTGGTAAACTCTACATTATAGGGACAAAATGTCCCCACAAAGATTGCAATATCTGAAATCCTTGTCCTTGTTGGGACATTGTTTGGTCTCCATGAAGATAACAGCTTATAATTCATACTAAATGATGTTTTTTTAAAAGAAAAAGGTTGGGTTTAGGGGTAGGGTTAGTGTAAGATAGAATATACAGTTTGTACATTATAAAAATGTGTGTGTGTGTGAGACATTAAATATGTATTTAATATATTTGCTTGATTTTTATTACACTGTAAAAGTAATAAAACAAATATAGTAAATTATTTCATTGATGTGGTTGGCCGTGAAATGCGTTGTTCATACAAATTAAATTAGGTTGATGTTTTATGTGAGGATTTTAAAGGGAGATGTTATACTTTCCATGTAAACAGAAAATCCTTTCCTGTCTCTGTGTAGTATTCTGAACATCACAGAGGCTGTTGGAGACCAGATGGTAGGGCTCAATGGAAACTCAGTCAGTTTAACAACTTCTGCCCTGGCAATATCAGTGGTCAATATTGACCAAGAAAATTTTCATAACCTCACCTTTGGAGTCTCATCTACTAACAAAGGTTTAAACCCTGAGGTAAGCACAATTACGTTTAATAGTTGGAGGTCAGTATACATTTAAAAAAAAAAAAAATTATACTTTAGCAATTTAGCAGGGGTGCATTAAATTGATCAAAGGTGACTGTAAGGCCATTTATAATGTTACAAAAGATTTCAATTTTAAATAAACCTTTTGAAATTTCCCCAAAAATATTAAGCAGCACAACTGTTTTTAACATTAATAAGAAGAAGAAATAGCATATTATTTCTGAAGGATCATCATGAGACACTAAAAACTGGAGCAATGATGCTGAAAAATCATCTTTACCATCAGAGGAATACATTACATTTTAAAATATATTAAAATAGAAAACAACTTTACATAATATTTAACACATAATATATATAATACGTTATATAAAATAATATATTAATCATCGTCACAAGCATTGAGCTTTGAATGCTTCTATTTCTATTTTATACTTTTTCCTACCTATGAAAATATAATTAATAATATATGTATGGCATCTTAAAAGTCACACAATGATAAAATATTATGCTTTTCTAGATTTATATCAACCAGGAGCCTTTTGATGGTACAGTGGCCTTCATTTCTCTTCCCTCTGAAATACAAGACAGATTCCCAATCGTAAACGATACCAGCCCCCGTATTCAGTTTCAATTTTATGGTGTTCCAACTCTCTTTCAAACAAAGGTGAGTTCAGTTGCTGAGGCAGATGTTCATTTTACAGTTGGTTTGTGACTATTTTGACACGCTACTTTTTGTGAATTTGCCTCAGAATGACCCAGATAGGAAAGAACTGAACACTTATGTGGTGTCTGCAAGTGTGACTAATGCCACAGGACCCATTGAAAACCTAAAAGAATATGTTGCAGTCACTCTGCGCCATCTAACAACTAAGACAGTAAGTGGAGTTCTTAGAAATGTCCAGGAATTTAAAAAAAAACACTGGCAGAAATAATGAAACTGTCTTTACCTTTGACAGAAGGACCAGAATGTCCAGTGTGTCTACTGGGATTTCAATAAGAATGGCAAGTCACTTGTACTAAATGAATGAATACATTATAATTCTTCACACATTAGGTGCTATGTTTCATAAGTGTATTTGTGTCAGTGGATTTATGCATGTACTATTTTAGACGGATATGGAGGATGGAGTCCAAAGGGGTGCTGGACGTATAATATCAGCAAAGATTACACAACCTGTCTTTGTGACCACATGACCCACTTTGGAGTGCTGCTGGTACGACACAATTACAATTACTTTATTAGTTTGAAAAATAGTTTATAAATACAATAATAATAATAATAATAATACAATAAATATATAAAATATGTTGGCTTTATAAATAATAATAATAATAATGATTCAAATAGCATTTGAATATTTTATGTATTAAGCCAAGAATTTGTTTTTATTATTATTATTTAAGGACGTGTCCAGAACTCCTATTGATGAAATTAATGAAAGAATCCTCACTATTATTACATTCATGGGCTGTGGAGTGTCTTCATGCTTTCTTGGGATCACAGTGCTAACATACACCCTCTTAGAGTAAGATGCTTTAATATTTTATGTTAATAAATGGCATTGCAGCATACATGCATTGCTATAATATTTGCCATAATGGATATGCCATATTGTCATGTCTATTCAAAGTTTTACAATAAAATGTATACATTTAAAAGTCATTTTTCATGTTACATTTCTTTGCCATTGACTTTGGATGCATTGCATCTTAATACAGGAAGTTAAGAAGAGACTACCCATCCAAAATTCTGTTGAACCTGTCCATTGCATTACTGGGACTGAACCTGGTGTTCCTACTGAATTCCTGGTTTTCTTCTTTCGGCATCGATGGCGTATGCATTGCTGTGGCGGTGACCTTACACTATTTCTTACTGGCTTCCTTTACCTGGATGGGCTTGGGGGCTGTGAATATGTACTTTGCTTTGGTCAAAGTTTTCAATGTGTATGTGCCCTCATACATCTTGAAATTCTGCCTGCTTGGCTGGGGTGAGAGATTTAAGCTTATGAAAACATTCAGAGACAGATTTATGTTTTTAATTCATTCATTTAACAACCATTATGTCTTTGCACAGGGATTCCACTTATTATATGTGGCATGGTGCTGGCTATAAAGAGAGATGCATATGGCATGAACACCATGAGTGAATCCCAAATGACACTGGATGATTCTGAAATGTTGTAAGTAAAGTTGGATGGTTTTTAGCATGAAAATCGTAACGGAACAGCATTATAAATTTACTATAGTGTCAAATGTAAGTTAAGAATTGTCATGCCTTTCTTTTTCAGCTGCTGGGTACAAAATGATGTGGTTTTTTACATGTCAGTAGTGAGCTACATAGCCTTCATACTACTGTGCAATGGTTCCATCTTCTTAGTGGTTTTGATCCAGATTCGAAACATGCAAGTCAATCAACCTGCTGGCACCCGAAGTGGGATCTGGAAAGACCTGCGGGCTGTGGCGAGCCTTACCTTTTTATTGGGTCTCACCTGGTCTTTGGCTTTTCTCGCTTGGGGTCCTGTCAAAGTGTTCCTCCTCTATCTGTTTTCCATACTGAACAGCCTTCATGGTGAGAAAGAGCACATAAAATTCATTTAGATTCAGCTTAACGATCCAATCTATTAATAGGCCTATTCTATGTTGTGATTTGTTCCAGGATTCTTCATTTTTGTGTTCCACTGTCTCATGAAGGAAAACGTACGGAAGCAATGGAGAATACATTTATGTTGTGGAGCTTTCAAGCTGCAGGAATACTCTGGTAAAGCACAAATTTCTTCCTCGCAATATTAATCATCATGGAAAGCACAAGCACTAACTTAGTGATTGTTTTCAGAATGGAGCCAAACTGCAACTGTGGTTCCCAAACACAAACCCAATCCACCAAATACGTTTCCCTTCATGGCATCTGTGAGATCCATCAAGTCTAATTCAACTCAGAGCTCAACGGTTTCCTCAGAATCCAGCCAACGTCAGGTGACTATCACAAGACCTGACCTGGGTAAGATCATGTTACCAATAAGATATAGGCCTATTGTTGATATAATGTTCAAATCTTTTACATTTGCTTGTCTTAACCTTTCCTGGTAGGATTTGTATATGAAAACAGTTTGGCAATACCAAGAGCCAGGGCAGGACTGTTGGTTCTTCCCAGTGATGCATCTCCTGCCACAGGAAGTGGGCTTGAGTTTCCTTCAAGGCCATGGAAGAATGGATTCAACACAGATATCTATTCCAATTAAATGTGTCTGTTTTTTTTCTTTGTCGCTCTGTACTAAAGCACGTGTTTTTCTAGAAACTTTCAGTTTTAAAATGACATTTGGCTTTTCAGAAAAATAAATAACAAAATAGCCTAAACATGTTGAAAACAGATTCCTCAAATTATATCCTTTACGGAAATTATGTAAATGTATGGTTTGTTTGTAAAAATTTGAAATGACCTGTAAATTTCCATAATAAATCTGCAATAAAGTCTAAAAGTGGATTTGAATGAAAATCGTAAGCTTAGTACTGAGAGAGAAACATTAAGGCGGAACTGCACACATGCGCGACAGTTGCATTCCGGAAGACGCACAGTGTTGGACATGCGCGTTACTCTCGGAAGTGCAACATTTATGTTTTGGAGGCTCGGCATTGGAAAAGGTGGGTTGTCTTTTATATTTTCTTAATTTACATTAAAGCAGTGTGCATTTTTGCTGTTCGCCTCTTATATTAAATGTAGACCGTACTGTTTTTCTAAATAAGCCTAGGAACAGTTGTGTTGTTCACCCGTCAGATCGGCGTAAACGGATTTATGTGGGTTAGTTCTGTCTCATCCAGGCCCGGACTGGCCACCGCGAGTACCGGGAGAATTCCCGATGGCCTGGCGACTTGCCCCGCCGCGCTGCCCTGTATTTATTTAATATTATTTTAAAAAATATTATTATTTTATATTATTGCCTGCTCATTGTATCACAGTGAATCCGGCATTCGATAATACATCATGAATCTGTTAGTCTCTACTGACAACGCTACGGTTCGGCTCACGTCCGCTTTGTGCCTCAGTCAAACGGTTTCGATCAGAGTAAGTTAATCAATGCGAGGATGGAGAAGAAGCGGACAGATGGAGTAGTGGATAGTGGCGCCTCCAGGACATTTTTAATGGGTGGCCAAAGGGGGACAGTAAAAATCCTAGGGTGGCACACAACGGGGGGGAAAGTGCTAACCTGCATTAATTTCAATATCTATTTCTTTTTCTATACTACTAACATTTATTTGTCAGGTTGATATGCAGATTAAATTACATTTGAATTACATTCATAAAACTAGGTAGTATGCACATAAATCACATTTAGCAATGAACTGTAAAATACATTTATAAATTCCTGTGTAAATACATTTATACGAGTGATGCACCGAAATGAAAATTTTCAGGATGCACATGTCTGAAAAGAAACTGACACCAAAAATGAAAATAAAGTTTTAATAATAATCAATCATACATCAAATGTATTTAATAATCAACACTCAAATAATACAGAGTTATATAAACATTAAAATGACATGTTAGGCATTTTTATATAGATTTTTTAAGATGATTAGTAAGGCAGTAATACCCTAACTTATTTTCATGACAGATTTAGGCCTATTTAAAAATAATCTACAATAAATAATGAAACGATGAATGTTAAATATGTTAAAAAAAATATATATATAATGCACAGGTTATGTAAAAAATAATCAACATGTAATTTAATTCATATATTTATTAAAATGCTCCTCTAGAGTTTTTTTCTTTGTTGTTAACTAACAAGTTATGGTCATTGAATAGATTTCCTGATGTAAATGTAAGGTTGACATTGTTTACCAGCTGTTTTATTTTATTTCGGTGTTTGAAACACCGCTTGAGCGATTACATGAATAATTTGTACTATAATTTCTACAGTAAAAGTAGCAAAGCGCAAAGCTTATTGTGATTATTGGATGTCAGGCGCTACAAAATGTTGAGTGAAGTTTTGTTTCGCGCATCAACTAAAAACTGACCTATTTCTAAAAACTGACTGGTTTCCTATTTGGAGTTACTGCAAATTAAAACCTTTTAGGGTGACCTGGTGAATGTGTCAGTTTTTTTAAGTTCAAAACAATCCTCAAATAAACCCATCAGTATGGCCCTGTCTCAAATGGCACACTTCAGTGAAGTGTCTCTGTCTTGTCTTTGTTTCTGTAGATGAGCGGGGACTCGGATGGTAATAAAGAGTTCCACGAGCAGCTCCGTTTGCAGCAGCTGTATGAACAGAAGAAAGAGAGTGGAGATGATCCTTTCACGTATGTCGACCCAGAAGACGGCACTGCGTATGACTGGGACCATGAAAAGAGAGCATGGTTTCCAAAGGTCTCCCATTACCAAACAAAATACTACATTTACACAATGTCTGTTTTAATAACCCGATCAGAGCTGATTCGTTGTAAGATCTGCATTAAAGTTCATGTTATTTTTATTTTATTTTTATAGATAAATGATGATTTCATCGCAGCATATCAAGCAAACTATGGCTTCAATGAGGAAGGGGCCCCTGATCCATCTACTGCGGCCCCTCCCGCCGAACCAGATGAGCCCAAGAAGACAGAGGAGAGCTCGGACCAGGACAAAACTAAGGAGGGTGCTCAGAAAGGAGAGAAAAGAAAAGCAGACCCAGGTTAGAAGATATTCATAATTATTTACCTACCGTATTTTCCGCACTATACGGCGCACCGGATTATAAGGCGCAGCTTCAATGAATGACCTATTTTAGAACATTTTTCATATATAGGGCGCACCGGATTATAAGGCGCATAAGATACTGCAGTCAAACGTTTGACTGGGTTTGCGTTATGCATCCACTAGATGTCAACAAATGTCAACAAAACAGTCAGATAAAGTCAAACCTTACTAAGCGTTCTGACAACTCCGTTCACTCCCATGGTAATGTTGTTCAAACGTTAAAAAGTAAAACTCCGGTCAATTTTAACATTGAGCTCATTTTTTGTAAATTTGGAGTGCTGTTAGTACAGATAACAACGACAAAAACCGGTGTTGCCTACACGTGTTATCCTCTTTTTAAAATTTGCACCCTGTTGACTTAAACGGGACAAGTTTTAAACCTGCTTTTAGCCTCTATAACAACCTTAATGTGTCATTACAAGTGCACAGCCATGTGAGTGAACACGGTGAATCTGACTGCACATACCCGTATTTTCTTCCTGTTTTCGGTCGAAGTCCACAGTAGGCGATTGTCGAGTGCGTGCGCGCGATCATTGGTAGCTAACTAAGCAACAGTGGAGACTCGGACTGTCAGCCGATGACGGTGCTGTGTGGTGTTCTGAGAATATCAGCTCAAATGGATAGTTCATCCGAATCAGATGTTGAACACACGGAGGAGGTTTGATCGCGCGCGCGCGAACTCGACAATCGACTACTGTGGACTTCGACCGAAAACAGGAAGTAAATACGGGTATGTGAGCCGGCTGAATAAAGAGATGATTCCTGCCTTCGTGAAAGCTCGGATCCCAGTTGAGACTGATATATCAGCCTGGGGATCCACGATCCATTGGCAGATAGTGGCGTAAGTTGCCCGGCGCTGTCTCTTGGTGAACGTGTGTTCACCATCCATATATAAGGCGCTCCGGATTATAAGGCGCACTGTCGTTTTTTGAGAAAATTAAAGGCTTTTAAGTGCGCCTTATAGTGCGGAAAATACGGTAATTACTGCTTTAAAGATTAATTTACTATTTGCTGATCTTTACAATGGAACTGAGTCAACACTGAATTTATTTCATCTGATCAGTCGAAATGCATAATTTTCCTGTTATCACTGTTAAAGGGATACTCCACTTTTTTTGGAAATAGGCTCATTTTACAACTCCCCCAGAGTTAAACTGTTGAGTTTTTACCGTTTTTGAATCCATTCAGCCGATCTCCGGTTCTGGCGGTACCACTTTTAGCATAGCTTAGCATACATCATTGAAGTGGACAAGACCATTAGCATTTCTAAAAAAAAAAAAAATGACCAAAGAGTTTCGATATTTTTCCTATTTAAAACTTGACTCTTCTGTAGTTACATCGTGCACTAAAACCGACGGAAAATGTAAAGTTGCGATTTTCTAGGCTGGTATGGCTAGGAACTATACTCTCATTCCTGCGTAATAATCAAGAAACTTCACTGCCGTACCATGAGTGCAGCAGGCGTAATGATATGACGCAGCGCCTGAAAATAGGCCACCTTCCGTCAACACAGCGGAACTATTTTCAGGCGCTGCGTCATATCATTACGCCTGCTGCACTCATGGTACGGCAGTGAAGTTTCTTGATTATTACGCAGGAATGAGAGTATAGTTCCTAGCCATACCAGCCTAGAAAATCGCAACTTTACATTTTCCGTCGGTCTTAGTGCACGATGTAACTACAGAAGAGTCAAGTTTTAAATAGGAAAAATATTGACACAATCTGTATTGTATAAAGCTCTATATAAAACAAGGTGACTTGACATACATTTTCTGTATTCTAACTATATTAACAACTAAAAAAGTGTACTTGTATTTTACAGGCTGGTTTGAAGTTGAAAAGGACAAAAACACAAATGTTTATGTGACAGGTAAATAATTTCCTCATTATTAGATTAGATTATATTACTACAATTATGTCTTTAATATTAATACCATGTTGTAAATACTGGTATGACTCCCTCTAGTGGCCATATCTACTTTTTAAATCAGTTAGTTGGTTTAAATAAGAACTGATCATCAACTATTCAGTTTATGAAGTGTTTTTCAGTGTATGTGTCTTTCTGCTAGGTCTTCCTCTAGACATAACTCCTGATGAGTTTGTGGAGATTATGTCCAAATGTGGAATTATCATGCGTGATCCTGTCACAGAAGAATATAAAATCAAGCTCTACAGGGACAAGGATGGGAACCAAAAAGGAGATGGACTTTGCTGCTACTTGAAGGTTGGTCATTATAACATTATGATCATGTGCATGTAAATATTCTATATATATTTCAAATAAAAACACATACATGTTTGACGTGCAGTTATTTTAGTATTATTTATAGTATTTATTAATATTTTGAATTAGACTTTATTTTTTATAATTTCAGTTTCTATTTATTACATTTTAGTTTAAGCAATTCTGTTATGTGCTTGTGTCATTTTTATTCGTTTTTTTTTTTTTACTATTTCGATTTGGCTTTAATTATATATTTTTTTGTGTATTTTTATTTGTAGTTGTAATAATTTGAGCACTTCATCTTCAACCTATATTACTTTAGTTAGTTGTTAGATTAAGTTTTTCATCTAATATTTATATTTAATGAACAAATACTATTTTGAATAGTTTTAAAACTGTTTAACATGCTTTACATGTGTATTTATATCATTTGTAGACAAACATTTTCATTTGATTATTCCCTGCAGAAAGAGTCTGTAGCTCTTGCCGAGCGGCTCTTGGATGAGACTGAGATTCGGGGCTACCGACTGCACGTGGAGGCAGCGAGATTCGAGCTCAAAGGACAATATGACGCCAACAAGAAGAAGAAAAAGAACAAAGAGTACCGCAAAAAGCTCCAGATGCAACAAAAGTACAAACCTTTTCTAGCTCAATCCTGTGGCTCTATGTAGTCAATTCTGACACACAGTGCAACAATGCTCTGCTTAATCAGCAAAATATTTCTTGTGTTGCTGTAGACATGACTGACACTTCTGTCGTTTGATTATCAGGCAGCTGGACTGGAGGCCGGAGAAGGCCATGGACGCTCGCAAAAGGCATGAAAAAGTTCTCATCATTCAAAACATGTTTCATCCCAGTGACTTTGAGGTAAGAGTCAATCTCAGAACATACCGACACACCCAGAAAAAACACTTGAACATATCGTAGATGTTATTGAATAGAACATTTTGTTGGCAACACTTTACATTGAGTGACATCTGCATGAAAAAGTACCTTTCTGTTGTTTTCTGACAGCATTTGTAAAATGTCTTATGCTGCAGCTGAAACCAGATCTACAGTATTTTCAGAATATGTTTAGCCTTGCACTGGTATTCAAGATGTGTAAAGTTAATTACAGAAATGCTTTTCATTAGTAACAGTTTGGAGCTACGGCATTGTTTAGTTTGTCTGTACCCGTGATAAACGTCTCTGCGTCAGAGCTCAAGGCAGGTCTGTCTGCATTCCTGAAGTAGGTGCAGCTTAAAGGCTCAGAGAAGAGCAGGAATGAAGGTGTGGATCCGCAAATCTAGGATCCTCATGCTTTCTACATCTTTTAATTGTGTTTAATAAATGAGACTGATACTAAGATTGAACTAAAACTATGTTTGGGATTCTAAAGGCCTCAATTATGGCTAATTTAACTAGCTACCATTCAAAAGTTTGGGATCAGTAAGATTTTTTTAAAAGAAATGGATACCTTTATTCAGCGATTAAACTGATTAAAAGTCTCAGTGAATACTTTTACATTGTTACAAAAGATTTGTATTTCAAATCAATTACATTTTTGTAATGATGCTGAAAATTCAGCTTTGTCATCACAGGAATAAATTACATTTTAAATTAATTAAAAATGTAATTAAGTTATTATAAATTGTATTTCACTACTACTGTTTTACTGTATTTTATCAAATAAATGCTGCTTTGGTGAGCAAGAGACTTCCTTCAAAAACATTAAAAATCTTACCAACCCCAAACTTTTGAGCAGTTGTGTATACTACCCATTCATCATTTAGACACTCCTAATCCCTCTTTATTATTACTATTTTCACATTTTTAAATAATACATTACAAATGATCAAAACGTATGAAGTAACACTAAGAGGAGTAATGGGAACTGACTGCAAATGTTAAACAAATCAAAGCCATGTTATATTGTAGCTTCTTCGAGAGTGTACTAGATTCCAGATTCCATTTAAAATTTCAACAAACATCATGAAGTGCATCCCGGGATGCTTTTTAAACATTTGAAAAGGGATTCACATGTATTTTAGGAACTTGTTTGGCTGCTTTTCCTTCATTATTCAGTCCAACCTCATCCAACCTTCAAGATTTTTTTATTCAAATTTTAGTGCCAGTTAGGGACCATTTATATTTGTCTACGAAGCCCATTTCAATCTTTTAGGCCTTTAGATCAAAAGTTTTTTTTTTTTTTTTTAGATAATGAAGAATATAAATGTAATCAAATGTGTCCAGACATTTAACTAAAAAATGTGTTGAAGAGCTGCGCCATATGTGTCATGCAGGAGGATCCTTTGGTTCTGAATGAGTACAGAGATGATCTGCGGACAGAATGTGAGAAATTCGGGATAGTGAAGAAGGTCATTATCTTTGATGTAAGTCCTTTTTTACTTCTGTCCACATTTATTATAATAACTTAATTGTGTTTACACAAGTCAGCATTCAAATGTATCTTTTTTTTGCTATTTCTTATGCTCAACTCTTTGCTTTCTTCCATTGGAAACAGAGGCACCCTGATGGAGTTGCATCTGTGGCTTTTAAGGAACCTGACGAGGCGGACATGTGTCAGGCGGCTCTGAATGGACGCTGGTTTGGAGGGAGGAAACTATCAGCACAGCCGTGGGACGGTGTAACTGACTACCAGGTAAAATACTCAGCCTGTTTTAAGTTATGAAGAATTGTAAATTGCTACAGAGTTTATGTCCTCGATCTGATTTTTTCTGAATGAATCAGGATATTTAAAGAGAAAAAGTGAGGGGAGGGACATTAGTTTATCCATTAGGAATTTGCTGAATCACGAGAAGTGGGTGTTGCATACAAACCTAGTGTGGGTTTGCTAAAACAGTCTCTAAATAGCTATTTGGCTGTTGTTTAACATAACCCAACAGTCTGCACGGCCTACATGATGTCATCAGAAAAGGAAAGTTATTACATGGACTAAACCAACACAATCATTTTTAATTTTGTAATCCCATACACAATTAGACCAGAGATGTATATTAAGAAAGTTAAAAGAGTCTCAGGGTCAGGGTCAGTATAGTTTCAGGGTCAGTATAGTTCAAACTAAAACAAAACCATTAAAAAAAAAAAAGTGTTTCTTGAAATAAATGTATTTTTTAAGTGTCATTTAGTTTAACTGCATGCACTAAAATGACTCAAACTAAAACTGAAATAAAAGTTTTTAAAAACTATATAGACAAAATTACTAAAACTTTCAAATTAAAATTAGTTTAAAATATTAATGAACTAAAACTATAACTGTTACTAGAAATAAAAAATGTTAAATGAAATAAAATAAAACTTATTTTATTTCAGCTAGTTGCCAAGGCAATGTTTTTAATTGTCATTTATTTTAATGACAATGATATTTATTTTAATGTATGTACTAAAATGACCAAAACTAAAATTGATTAAAAACTATTGACAAATAAAAAATAAAAAAATCTAATAAAAATAACAAACAAAACAACAAAAATACTAAAACTTTACATTTAAAATGAAATAGTTCAAAATATGAATTAATACTAATGAAAACTTAAGCCATAAATTGTTACTTGAGATAAAATAAATGTTAAGTGAAATAAATATAATTATTTAAAAAATGTAAACCTAAATGTACAAATCGGTTCTATTTTCTTCTGCTTTTTTGCCTCACTTTTTGGCTCTGGTCACACAGGTTGAGGAAACCTCACGAGAACGAGAAGAGAGACTGAAAAGCTGGTCCTCTTTCCTGGGTGACGGATCTAAAGCGGACCCTTCAAAAGCAGCTGAACAACAGAATTCCAGCACACAAGAAGCAGCAGAACCGACCCGACAGGAGGAGGGTACAAACGAAAGCACCGCAAAACCACAGGAGGGGAAAGATGAGGAGGAGGACAAGGAGGAAGGAGGAATGCTGTCGACCGATAGCAGTTTAGCAGGAAGTGATGAGGAAGATGCGTAGAGAAAACAGAACTTGTTTAATGTCTCTTGCTCAAACATCTCAACACCAGTATACAGTGGTTTCCTTTTTATTGTTCCCATGACATGCCAGTGCATTTCACCATTTCAAAATTTGGGGGACAATAATGGAAATTTAACTGCAAATAATCATTTGTGTGATTATCCCTTCCCTTTATGCTAATGTCTGTCACTGTCCGAATCATTTTGAACTTCTGTTAATAGTTTTATAGTAAAAACACATTTTGTGACCTCTTCGTTGTTTCTTGCTTTCATGAAAAAGACGTTTCTTATAAAGTTTGCCACTGAAAATATTTTTGGTTTATATGGGAACAAAAAAAACAGCCCAGTGTAATTCCGTGTAAGCGTAATGACAGCTGTGATGTTATCTGTTTGAGATGACCTTGTTCAACTCGCTCGGGCACATTTCTCAGTGCACAACCTCCCGCACAAAGTATCACATTCGTTTTGTGTTAGTGCGATCGGTGCCTGGATGTGCGCTGGATTCAGTTCGGTAAGCAGCGTGTTGAATGTTTCGGGGATTTGATTTTTTTTGTGAATGCAGTTGAAGTCCCGTTTCAGTTTGAGGAAGGAGTGCTTTAGAGGATAAATAGAAACTAGCCTTTTAGAAATGTGGGTTTCATCTTTGTCTTTTTTAAATCTTTTGCTGTTCTCTGTTTATAACTAGTCTTAATAAGAGATTATGTATATGAAATAAGTAATTTCGTTTGTTTTTCCTCAACTATTTTGTTGCACTGTCCAGTTTTCTATCAAATAAGTAATGTTTAAATATTAATAAACTGTACTTTGCCATCTCAAGTTACATTCATACATTTTAATATACACTACTTTTCAAAAGTTTGGGGTTGGTCGATTTTTTTTTTTATTATTGTTGAAAGAAGGCTCTTATGCTCACCAAGACTGCATTTATTTTATTATAATCATAGTAAAAATTGTCATATGTAAAAGTACAATTTAAAATAACTTTTTGATTTTAATATAATTTAAAATGAAATTTATTCTGGCAAAGCTGTATTTTTAGCATCAATACTCCAGTCTTCAGTGTCACATGATCCTTCAGAATTCATTCTAATATGCTGATTTGTTGCTCACAAAACATTTCTTGTTATCAATGTTGAAATCAGTTGTGCGGTCATGGTTTTATCTTTGTGCAAAACCATGATGCATTGTTTTTCAGGATTTTTTGATGAATAGAAAGTTCAAAAGAACAGCATTTATATAAAATAGAAATATTTTGTAACATTGTAAATGTTTTTACCATCACTTTTGATGATTTAAAAAAAATCTTACAGGCCCCAAACTTTCAAACTGTAATATTGGATCAAAGTCACGCCTTTAGAAAGGTACCAGGGTCGACAGATTTACAGTTACATTTAACAACCTTTGTGCTCAAGGTAGAGAAGAAAAGTTAAATGCTGATATTTACATCCATCAATATCCACTTAATTTTCCTATACAAAATCATTGCAACAGAATTGACATCATAAGATTTTAACTGGAGAGTTTTTTTTTTGAAAAAACAGTTTACCATTTTATTTATTTATTTTAATGTATGGGACGGTAAATTGCTTTAAAAGGGGGAAATATAATGGTTGATGCACAACTTCATTCTTTTTATGATGAATAAATTAGAGAGAATAAATACAAAATAGATTTATTTCAATGTTAAGTACTCTTTACACATATGTACATGGGGGACACAAATGAAACCCATTTTGTAAAATAATAAATATTGTATCCCTAAGTCAGGATGATGGGGGACAGACTGTTAGAGCACTCAGAGGAGTGTAAAGATTCTCCTCAGCTGTTTACATACTATCAAGGTGATATCAACACTGCCGTGGATGAGCACTTCTTCCGTGCCCTGAACAAAGCCACCATACCAAAAGACCTCAGCACTAAAGCCAAGGAAAGCAATAGGACTCCCAAATATGGTGTGTTAATGCCAGTAAATCAATCAATCTATATATATATGTATATATCAATCAATCATCTAAATATATGCTTTTCTTATCCCAGATGCCCCCCTATCATCATCACCATGGGCTTTTTCTGGTCTAACATGGTCTAAGTCCACACACTCTTCTGGCTCCTCAAAGTTGACCCAATTGACATCCATGGAAGCCACGCCTCCATCCCAGGGAGTTATCGTGAATCCCTCAGGACTCTCATCCTCCCTCTGGCCCTGTCCACCCAGACAGAGCACAGCCTTTGAACTGCCTCAAATACTCTACCAACCACCCGTGGCTGTTGAGGGCAGCACCAGCTCTTACCTGAATATGTTACAAATGGATCGCCCAACAGGGGGCATCATGATCTCGCCCTTCTCAAAATCAGAGACCAGACCGGAGTGGAATTCTGGGACGGCCTTTAAAGATGTGTCTGGAAGCAGGATCGGCCTAGATTCAGGTACTGCAACTTATGCCATTGCTAACTGTTCGTTCACAGATGCATCTAATGCAAGGGTATACATCTTTAAGTAAGGGATGATGAACAGTCTGCCGTTCTTGATCGCAAAGTAAACTAAGACAGGTGATTAGATCAGCCTTTATAACCCTGAAGGGGTTTGTTTTGTGATAATGCAATGATAAATGTACATTATCAGTATTAAATGGCTACTCACCAAAAATTAATAAATAGTCCTGCCTACATATGCACGAAATATTGATTCCTTTTTTAATGGATTTTTGCAGTATTATAAATGATTTATCTGTGCACTTCATAATTTGTTTTTAAATCCATGTGCATGGTGCAATTACTCTTAATTGTGCATTGTCCCTGTAAAAATAAACAGTAAAAGTAAAGTAAAGATCCCTGTTCACACAGATCTGTGAAAGCGACTAAAAATGCTGTATATGTATGCCAGGCCAGTAGTTGGCGATATCACTTTGTAAAGAAACATTACATGCCTATATACAGAACACCTAATAGGCATGTCACCATTTTCACAAATTCGTGTTTTTGTAGTTTACACGTAAACGATAACTGTATCGTTTTCAAAAACTTGCACGTTAAAACCCGTTTTGAAAAGTTTGTGTTTTCAGGACCCAAAACACTGTTGTCGTGTAAATGAATGGCCAAAACGCACAAAAATTTTCAGTTTTTAGATTTTAACCCCTTAGAGTTTCAAAATGGGTTTCAAAGTGCAAGTTTTTAAAAACAATTCAGTTATCGTCTCTGTGTAAACTACAAAAATGCGAATTGACGAAAACGGTGACACCATGCACATTTGTATTGCGTGTTCTGTCAATAGGTGCATAGTGTTTCTTTACAGAGTGACATCGCCAACTACTGGCCTGGCATACATAATACAGCATTTTTCGTCAGTTTCAGGGATCTCAGAGCCATAGAGAGAAAGAGTTGCGACACTCTTTGATGTCGCCGCGAACGGCTGTCACGTGGTTCATGTAAGCCCCAATAGTTCCAAAACACACGCGGGCTGTCATGTTCTTCTATGGACAGACAGCAGCGATTGCATTATTAAACGGTAAATATAAAATAAAACACACACCCAAGTACTTTTTAAGCTGTTATTGCGTTTTGTTAATGTCAGTTTTGCATTTGGAGAGGCAAGGTGACAACTTAGATAAGTTTTAGGCTATATTTTTGGAGGGAAAAGCTTAGTGTTCATGTTCGCATGGGTAGTAATAGCACTGGCTTTAGCGGCTCTAACTTAACTTTTCCATGTCATTCATCTGATGATGGACGTCTCATGATATTTATTTTAGCACAACTGGGCTGTATTAGGCTATTGATTCCCGTGATCTTGCTTCCGATTCAGCCATTAGCCTACCTTCGTGATCACGCAAAGAGGTCTGCAGTCCGTTCAGAACTCCAACCAACATAAAATATAAATAATTACGCTGTGCATGTACAAATGAATGATTTAGGAGGGAAATAGACTGCTCCCATAACGTAGAAAGCAACGACTATATACAGCAATGTTCGGTAAATATTAAACCGAAAAATATTCTTCATAAAATTAAACCGGAGAGATAGTTAATGAGTGAATTAACTATGTTCCTAAATACATATAAGCACATGCATAACCCTCCCTAACCCATTTAAATAAATGAATTGTGTGTGTGTGTATATAATATTATATATAGGTTATATATATATATATATATATATATATATATATATATATACATATAAAATATTATTAAAAATATTATATATTATATACATCAGTTACGTAAGTTAGCTAACGTTAGTGAAGTGTTGGTCACGTAAGCTATCGCTGCAATTAACCTATTATCTTCCAATAAACATTTACTAAAACTGGCTACATTAAATATAACTACAGACTAGATTCACGAGAGGTCGGCTAATGTGTGTAAAAGTAAAAAAAATACAGTAATTTCATTAATTTACCAGCGAACGTACTTCTGAAGCACTGAAAATGAATGGGGTTCAATGGAGAAACTATCAGTGTTTGGAACTATTGGCTGCTCCACGACACGGGACACCGCATTCCAAAGTTCCTATGGCGGTCTATGGGAGTGTCGCAACTCTTTCTCTCTATGGCTCTGAGGGATCCGTGTGAAAGAGGATCGTTTTGACAATGTCGTAGTCTGTATGCAAAGGACACAAAGGAAAAACCTTTCCGTTTTTATACATAGTTGTCGTGTAAACGTGCCCTTAGCCTCTGCCATGATGTCCGTATTGATATGTTGGTGTGACATATTGTGTGCGGTACTGCCGTAAATCAATCCCCGCTTTTCGCAGAAGTCCATATCCTCTCACCAGACTTACTCTGAGAACAGACCTTTGGGGGGTAGCGTGGGAAAGAAGTCAGTATCCCATAAGAATTATTTTGAAACTGATATATATATTGATGAAATATTTACAGTTGCTTTAAATGTGATTGTCACTTCTGAATCTCTGAGTAGCTTCTTTGAATAAGTAATTAGGCTACTTATTCTAATTTCATGACTGTTAAAAAAGTATGTTCTATATATTACACATACTGTTTTACTGTATTATGTATGCCAGGCCAGTAATTGGCTATGTCACTTTGTAAAGAAACACTACTGCCAGCTATATAGTAGGGATTTATGCATATTCGGATGCAGCTTAACATGTCTGTTTATGTGGATAGATTATTTGTATTATTTTGTGTTTTTCAGGTGTGCCTGCCTCAGAAATCAATAAGGATTTGTACTGGTATTGAAGAAGAGATTTCTGGCTTTACAGTGTGACGAAAATACATTTTCAGCATAAGACTGCCTGTGTTTACATTATTATGTAAGCTTAAAAATGCTTTTGGACATTCGGTAAAGTGACTCAAACCATTATATTCATGGTGTCGGACATTCCTCAGAGATGAATGGCAGTTAATTGCTTCTTTTAGCCGTGAGCATGTGAATACGCTATCTTATAATAGGACATAAGTGAGAAAACCTGATTGGAAATAGTTCACTTCTCTTAGCTGGATGAATGAGGAAGTAAAGTCTATTTATATGATTTGTAATACAATCATAGTTTTACTAAACTTTCTTTTTGTATTATATGCTGTTTTGAAAATTCATATTTTTACTGTAAGCCGTAAAAAAAACTGTTGTCATTTGACAAAAAATATATATTTAATATAGTATCTAAATACTTTTTCTTATCTAATATTCTTTTCTCTCTGAAAAGTTCCTACTTTGGGGGACCCTTCAAAACTTCATGTACAATTGTTTCGACTCTTTAGAGCAGGTTACACAGAAGGCAAAGCATAGTTCATGCAATGCTGAAAGTGACATGAGCAAACCAAAAATAAATTTCCTCAAGTTGTTCAGTTGTTGTTGAATTTCATCTTTACAAACCTGTTTTCTTAAAACCCGTTTCACACTTTTTTCCTCAGGCAATGATGTATTTCCCTGTCACAGTCCCTCACTTTTGATATATGAGTATGACAAAACAGCTAAAGTACATGAATTTCCTCAATTATTTCCAAGAATATTATACAGTAGTCTATTTTCAGAAAGATTAGACATGTGACCCTTTGTTTAATAACTCCCACATAAATATGGTCCTTTTGTACCTACTTTACACATTTACATACTTTTTAAACAAGACGTTTGATTTTTTTTTTTTCGCAGGTCAGAATGACCTGTCAGAATTATGAATGATTAAAAATTTTTGCCAGTCTGTTGTTTATTAGTAAATTAGACTTATACGTTTACTTTATATTTACTTTTTTTATAGGCAATTTGCTGATTTTCAAAGTCAACTGCATTCTGTCTCTCCTATTTAAAGCATTGATTTGCAGTTTAAGGAGACATTTCTTTGAGGATAAAGACTCAAGGCCACCCACACATCTTTGTGAGCTCACGTGCTGCTGTTTCAGTTGGTCCTGAAGTGGGAGGCAATGTCTGCTGAGCAAAGGTGGCAATGGGGGATTCGTTTTCCACTCATTCATAAATATACCAGCTTCAGCAGGAGATGGCTACAGTGCTCTCTGCCCTGCATGTATTCAGGACATGCACATGAGGACAGCTTTTCACGCTCACTTACTCCCACATCTCCGCAAAACTGCAATTACTGCTAATAACACCTTGGGAGACTCTAGGAATCATTCATTTGCCTGTCAACAAACCATAAAGGGGCATAACATAGAGAGCCACTAAATGCAACTTTTGCTCATTTTTCAAAAATTAGAGCAAAATGATAAATAATTTATCTTAGGTCAGCATATTAATAGCTTTGAACATACTAACAAAAATACTAGATACTATAGAGGCAATTTTTTTTAAAGTTGCCATTCTCATAGTGTGACTGGGAATATTGTCAAAAAAAATCAATGCGTTCAATGCTTAATTTTTTTCTGAGCAACAATGGTGGAAATGTTCAATAGCTTATTTTGTAACCAAGACTTTAAGATATGTGACTATACATAAATATAAAATATAAAATCATTAAGAAATATTCACTACTGTAACATTTAACATGGTTTGAGAATGAGAATCGTTATGAGAACTGAAGGCTTTTTAACTCTCTTGGGTTCAATCGGTGGTTTAAAACACCAACATGGGATTTTTTTTTTTACAGTGAGTACACTGTTCTTGCTTCGTGTGCTTTTCTCTTTCCCATCTTCCTCTCACATCCCCAGAGTGTGATAATGAATGAGAAAATACAATTTGAGATGTTCTCAAAGCATTTACCCTAGTTCAATAAAGATTTAAATAAACACTAAATTAATGAACCTATCATTTGATTTAACTGTTAGCAGTAATCTCATGCTATGAAGCTCAGTTTTTTTTTTTTTTTTTTTAGTAAGCATGCAACATTTGTAACCCATTTTACTAGCATAATGTGACGTAAAGAAACAGGATTCAATCTGCAGGCCAGAATGTAAATTTAAGCAATGGAAATTAGATTTAGAAAGTAAATTAGTTTCATTTTGACTGAACAATATGGAAAGCAATGCTCATCTCACAGCAAAAATGGGTACATTATAGTGGACCAGATGGTGGAACTTTTCATTTCGGCATGCTCACTATTCGATTATTGATGCCTTGGCACATTTTAAGTTCTCTTCCATCTGCCCTAATTTTCCTGCTCTCTTATGAAGTAAATAAATCAGGCTGATGCCTAAACAAGAGGACAACAGGGGCACATTAAATCTAAATCTGTCATGTAACATTCAACACATTTGAGAAACAACCGAGAAAAACTGCAGACTAATGTTGTTGCAGTTTACTGAATTACAGACTGACTGTTAAACTGTTTCATTCAGGAAATGACCAGTGCAGTTAAAATAGTTTTTCCTCTAATAAATGGACTATGAAACTAAATATCCCAATGACAATGTCTGAAACCTTTAGAGATGTGAGACATTCTCATATATGTCAGTCCTTATTAATAGTTCCCTTTTTAGCCAGATATCAAAATACCCTAGACCATATGCATGGGTATTGTGGCAAGCCATCTTACCTTTATTTCTTTAAAATAAGAATATTTTTATATTACTAGTATTTATTTTTTAAATAATTTATAAAATGCAATAGTAAAATTTAGTGTATTTTTCAGTTTCACCAAATAAAACAAAATATTCCAAAAGTTACTATCTTACCAGTAGGCTATCTAATTATAGCCTATCACTGCAGGTATTTATGACACTAATATATATCCCATTTGTAACTAGTCACATTTCTTATCTCACTAATTACATTTGCCTTTTTACTTGTTATGTGTAATGATTGAATGGCTGCCTATAGTTCAACTGCAAATCTTACTACACTGTTAAAAAAAGCTGTAAAAATAGGGCTTAGCCTACTGTATAAATATGAAGGATTTTTTTTTTTTTTTTTTTTTTAACGGGTGTTTTACCTGTATTTTGAATTACGCATTTCATTGTTTTGTGTTTTAGGGTTAAAGGACATTTCTGTAAAATTACGTGATAATGCCCTGGCAGAAAATTAGCCTACCAGTTAGGCTACATTTTCCATTTATTCGTTTAGTGTAGAATCTAATAGTGAAATTCAACTGGTCACTACTGGATTTCTTACCAATAATTAAAAATATACCCACTAGTGACAATGAAAAAAAAATGTGTGTTCGTTTTAAGGAATAAATGGCTTGCCAAAGCCTACTTTGAGGATCCGCGCGCTTGAGTGGCGTTTATGCTGATAGCTGATAGATTACGGGAGGGTCGCGTTCTTCTCCTGAGGAGGGGGCACTAGGGCGATAATGAACGGGATCTGTGGGTCTACGGGGTATTTAAACAACCTGAGAGTGCAACTTACTTTCCCATGCTTAAGCTTCTCCATTCCAGCATACAGGTGTGCTCTATTCAGTCTACTATGGTTACTGTCGTCCGCTATTGTATGTTCCTCAGAGAGTCCTCAGAGAACGGCAGCCAGCTGGACACACCGACTCCAGATCAGCCCGGATTCAGCCGCACGGGACACACTGTAGTGGCAGTGTGTTTGGGAATAATCTTCGTTTTCGGTTTCCTAAATAACTTTCTTGTTCTTTTGGTCTTTGCCCGCTTTCATGTCCTGAGGACTCCTATAAATTTGATACTGCTGAACATCTGTGTGAGCGACATGCTTGTTTGTATTTTTGGCACACCGTTAAGTTTCGCCGCGTCTGTATACGGCCGGTGGCTGACGGGAGTTCATGGTTGCAGGTGGTATGGTTTTGCCAATGCAATGTTCGGTAAGACTGAGATTTAATAAACAAATATATTCTATTGTAGCCTTGTGATAAAAAAAATCGTATTGATTATCCTAACTGCACGTTATCACATTGAAAATATGCAACATGTGTCGGTTCATTTCAGTAGGCCTAGTAGCTAGAATGCGGTTGAGTAGTAAGTCAGATGGGTTAATTATTACAAATAATTGGTTAATTGTAGTTTCCATCATTGATTGTTGTTATTATCCTGTTTATTATACTGTGAAGTTGTTTTAAAACTGTAGCTATAATTATTAAATATGAATGGGCCTTCACCCAAAAATGTAAAATTCTGTCATCATTTACTCACCCTAACGTTGTTCCAAACTTTATAAATGTCTTTCTTCTGCTGAACACAAAAGAAAATATATTTTGAATAATGTTTGTAATCAAACAGTTGTGGGGCACAATTGACTTCCATAGAATGGAATTTTTTTTTTAAAACATTATGGAAGTCAATGGTGCCCCACAACTGTTTGGTTACCCATATTCTTCAAAATATTTTATTTTGTGTTCAGCAGAAGATAGAAATTTATACAGGTTTGAAACAACATGAGGGCGACTGGGCGAGTAAACTATGACAGAATTTTAATTTATTCTTAAACTATTCCTTTAAGGTGTCTTGACATGATTAGTATATTGTGTTTTTAATTCACTAAAAAGAACCACTTCATAATAGACATTCGTTCGGGAATCAGATTTCACTGATCGTGCTGTATATTTGTGTCAATGTTTTCTGATCTGTTGTAAGATGTATAGATTTGTACATGGTTTAATAAAAGTACAAAAAGAGAATTTGGCAGCAACTATGCTATCAAGGTAAATTAAGGTAAAAGAAACATTTAGTTGATAATCATATAGGCCTAATTGATTTGGCTCTTTATCCAACATCAACAGGTATTGTTTCACTGGTATCACTCGCTGTACTGTCATACGAGCGTTACAGCACCATCCTCTGCTGCACAAAAGTGGATGTGTCTGACTATAGGAAGGCCTGGCTCTTCATCACAGGCTGCTGGCTGTACTCTCTCGCGTGGACATCGCCACCACTCTTCGGCTGGAGCAGTTACGGTCCTGAGGGTCCCGGCACCATCTGTTCAGTCCAGTGGAACCATCGCTCCCCAGAAACGACTTCTTACGTCATCTGCCTCTTTGTCTTTTGCCTGCTCCTGCCTCTTCTTCTCATGGTCTACTGCTACGGGAAGATCCTCATTGCCATTCATGGGGTGAGGAAAGAGTGAAAGAGGAAAAGGTTGAAAGAGAGAGAGTGGGAGTGGAAGCAGTGATTTTGATAAAGAGCTCTCTTCGAGTAAGACTTATCGATCTTTCTAGCCAAATGTTTGTTTGCCATAAATTAAGCATTTTTCATGCTATACTGTCCAGAACCAAAGTCCTTTTCACAGGGTTAGTTCATCCAAAAATAAAACAATTGTGTCATCATGACTTACCCTCATGTCATTTCAAACCCACAAGACTTTTTAAATGAAACCTGAGAAGTTTCTGTCCCTCCAATGAAAGTCTACATAACCAAAACCTAAAAGATCCAAAAAGGCCACAAAGGCGTCATAAAATAAATCCATTTAAATTGAACGGTTTAATCAAAGTCTTTTGAGGAGATATGATTGCTTCATATGATGAACAAATTTAATTTAGGCTTTTATTCAAATATAAACACACTTATCACATGTGTGATCACATCACATGTGCATCACATATTGTAAACAAGAGCTTATGCCTGTGTCATGCGTTGTTTTTGTCGATCATTATTTAGAGGTAAATAAAAGCCTAAATTAAATCTGTTCATCATATAAAGTTATCATATATCTTCACAACACTTGGATTAAACCACTTGATTCATATAGATTCATTTTGCGACGCCTTTATGAACTTTTTTGACTCTTCTAAGTTTTGGTTACCTGGACTTTCAATGGTGGGACAGAAACCTCTCTCTTAATTTGTGTTTCGAGGATTAACCAAAGGTTTATGGGTTTGGAATGACATGAGGGTTAGTAAATTATGCCAGAATTCTCATTTTTGGGTGAACTATCCCTTTAAATGGCTATGCACAGCTGGATCAGATTTGAGCATTTTAGCAAATTCTTGTATGCCTTAACAAATGCAACAACAAAAAATTTGTAAATCAAAACATATTATGTAAAAAATAAAATGCTTTAAATTCTGTCAAACATTCTAGGTCATAGACAACATGTGGCGTTTCAAACCAGACGCAAATGTACAGCTTGATGCTGTTGTTCTTGAAAAGCAAACCTCAAAGCATGTCTCCTCACCCCACAGGTTGCTAAGATCAATCAGACAGCTGCGCAGAGGAGGGAAACACATGTGCTGGTGATGGTGGTTTCCATGGTGTCCTGTTACCTGCTCTGTTGGATGCCGTATGGGGTCATGGCATTGCTTGGCACATTCAGCGTTGGCATTGTCAGCCCCACAGCCAGCGTTGTGTCGTCCATACTAGCAAAGAGCAGCACTGTTTTGAATCCCATCGTCTACGTTCTGTTCAATAATCAGGTATGTGCTTCTTATAGGTGTATTTGTTTCCTCATTATCCTTATAGACTTGTATTACTATCAATTCTAAATTCATTGCCAGTTCTACAGGTGCTTTATAGCTTTAGTAAGATGTGGTCCAGAGCCTCCAGCCCATCTCACCCTTCACACAGAAGAAGGTGGTGGTCAACAGGACTGCATCCCTATGGGGTCATATGGTGTTACTTCTCCACCCAGGGACGGACTGGGGCTAAAAAACAGCCCTGGACTTTCTCCCAAATAGGCCCATCATCCAGCCATTCGCCCCTAGCCACAGGATGTCCTGATACTATGCCACAATACTGTAACCTATATCAGACAAGGTATTCACAGCAAGTAATATCTCAAAAACAATGATGACAATTGGGGTTTTGTTTATTAATGAAGCCTCAGTCTTCAAATAAAAACAAAAAAATGTACAATGCCATTACATCTGCATTGAAAATAAAATACAAATAATGACATGTCACTGGCTACAGAAACCCTAATTACACAAACTTGTAATTATAAAACATTTAGTTACTATTATACCAGGGGTCTCCAACCTTTTTGTGTGTGAGGGCTACCTCAAGGGATAAAATAATCTAGAAGGGCTATACTCAAAAATATTTATTATACATATAACGTGGTGGTGTTTTTTTTTACCTTACCTTTACCTTTACTTCACCATCATATGCGAAATAATAAAATATATTGATATTCTGGTTCAACAATTGGTGAAAAATTTGTAATATATATATATATATATATTATTCTCTAAAAACCTATTGTAGCATAAACATTTAGTATAAATATTTAATGCAAAATAAATGAATAAACTGCCATAACTTCTAAACAAAAACATTACTGCATTACATTTTAAAGCCTACATTTATAGGCCTACATGACTATTAATATAACAGCATTTTTAATATGAATACAGGCACATTTCTGCCAAAAAAATTCGTTTTACTAAGTTACAGTTAATTCATAAGTTGTGGAGTGAAATGTCTTCTAACTGGTTTGTTCTTGGAACAATGTTTCACCTGTTTTTTTGCGTCAAGATGTTGAGAATATCAGCGCTGTTTAATCTGGCTTTTAACTAGCTTAAATCACAGCCATCTGTGGGTTTAAAATAGAGATAGAGAATTCTGGGCTGAATTGAAATGCTTCTCAGTGGATCGCGCAACTCTGTGTAATAATGTTCGCGTGATCGAGATCAGTCCGCACAGCTGCTTCGGCCGCGATCGCAGTTTTTTTGGGCCGAGCTGATAATGCTCCGCGCTGGCATCCAACTTAAAGGTGCATTGCTGCCACCTACAGTACTGGAGTGTGAAACAGATTAGTGGGGGGAAAAAACAGGTTATGACTGCGTGTGTGGCGGGTGGTGGGCCGGCCCGCCGGCCGTCCTGGAGTACCGGCCGTTCTGTGATACTCCAGATCACACAGATGGCCAGTCCGCCCCTGTCTCCACCTGATAGCCCAGACAAGTTTGGGACCCCCACAATGACCCAAAGGGCTTCACTACAGAGAGAGAGGTAATAAGACTTTGGTTCCTGTGGTACACTGTTCTCCCTAAAACTGCTGGATATGAAAACACTATCCACGCAAAACCATATTAAGAGACAGGAAATAAAATTGTGTGCGTTTTTACTGCGATATACATAACCCAATGTGTGTTTTATAAGAAATATATTATATCAAAGTTTTGTTTTTGTGCAACGTTGATATTATTTAATTTGTTTGAATTTCTTGTAAATGTTGCATGAAAGTATTGCCACCAGGTGTCAGTATTTGTTCAAACGTGAAACAATGTGACTTGGACTTGGCAGCATCTAAAGGTCATGTCTATGGTGTGCAAAGGTATGAAAAAAAAATACAAGTATTAGGATAATTCGTTCATACTATCTGAATCTTGTTTGAGTATATTGTTTTTGTCAAGAGTCGGTCAACTAAACCCACTTACCTATTTATACAGGGATTGTGACTATAATCCAAGCAGTACCCATAATGTTACACCAGAGATGTTTTTCTAACAGAATTCAACAGAGTATTTTAACTTTGCTAATTACTTTAATTAATCTAAAGGTCTGAATCTTTCATTTTTTGTTCCATTGCTTTCAGTGATCACTTATCAACTTCTCAATGTTTTTAAAGGGATCCTATTATGCTTTTCCACTTTTTCAACTTTAGCTATTGTGTAATGTTGCTGTTAGAGCATAAAAAAGATCTGCAATGTTACAAAGCTCAAAGTCCACTCCAAAGGGAGATATTTTATTTAACAGAATCAACTTTTCAAGAACTACTGTACAACGATTTTTTTTCCAAATCTTATGAAGTTACAATGTTACTCATTTAAATAATCTGCGGAATACACAAAAAAGGGGGCAGAGGCCTGGCTGAGCTGATTAGAAAAGATGAAGAGTGTTGCTGCCGCTATGTCAAAGAGAAGCCTTTTTTTACCCCACCCCGGTTCCAAAACACCTTTGTTTGGCCTTCGTAAGGCGGACTCTTTGTACTAACTTAGTTTTCCGGAAAAAAAAGAAAAAAAAACGATTAAATGGTGGATAACATCATATCTATAATGCATAAGAAAAGTACAAAAAACATACCACTCTGAAATGTCCTGTGAAATCTGTGCTTGCAAAGTCTGTGCATGAAATCCATTTTGCATGATCCGCTTGTTCGTTAACACTGTCAGGGTCTGAATCGGGCTTGAATTGGTTTGAAATTGACGCCATATCCTTAATATTTACACAAGAGCAGAACTCGCAGTTATGGAGGGGCGGGACATTTCCTGAAAAATCTGTGCCAATCAGGAAACACACTGGGCCAGCTAACCAATCACAGCTCATTTCGTATTTCGGAAGCAGGGGCTTCATCGAAACCAGAACTATACAGCACGTTCAAGACAGACTGGGGAGAGAGCTGCTGTAATAATGTAAAATGTGTGAAGAAGAATACGTTTTTTGAACAATCAAGCATGTAAACATATTCTAGTACACCCCAAACACAAAATCAATACTTTGTAAACGGGCATAATAGGATACCTTTAAATGTATATTATGAGAAAATGTTGATGAAATATTTTTTTATGTTTTGGATTTTTTTGTACCAAACTAGTCAAAAATATTTCCATATTATTTTTGAACAAAAGGTTAAATCAGTCAAGCTAATTAATTGATAATGTGAATTTCTCAGCCTCGTGAACAATGATAATTGAGTCAGGTGTTCCAATCACATACTCATCCTGCCCTATGAAAGAGTTGGTTACCACTGAATTTTGTTAAAGTGTAATGTGGCATGACCTAAAGAGATTTCAGAAAACCACATAGGAAGAATTATACAGGCTCATTAGTCTGGAAAAGGTTACAAGAGGATGTCTGAAGACTTGGGGCTTCATCAGTCCCAATTGAAGCAGATTGATCACAAATAGAAAAAATGTAGCACCAGTCGTGCCTTGGCTGACCTTTCAAAGGTCAGTGTAAAGACATGTCAAAGGATTCTTTAAATGACAATGTACCACGAGAGAGAAATGTATGAGTCTGCAGGCATTTGAATATATTTGTTCCAATTTTATAGCACATTGCCAGGATGTTTGTGATCTGAAACTTTAAAGAAAGTGGGTCATGCAACTTGTCTGTTCCTAAACAAAGGAATAAATCACCATCAGAGTTGGTCCAAACAGAGGAAATTCCATATATTTGAATGGTCAGGTCAGAGTCCTGACCTCAATCTCATTTATATTCTGTGGCATGATTTCTATCCAAGGCCATTTGAGGCATCCCAAAAATATGCAAGATATCCCAAAATATTTATGATACAGCTTGTGCAGAGGAAAGGACCAAAATACCTCATATGCAGGTCACCAATAAGACGAATTTGACAGCAATTGTGGTCCCAAAATGTATTAAATATAAGTAATATTCACATTAAACTTTTGTGTCAAATTACAGAATTTAATTAAATATTGACTTAGATGGAAGCTATTAGATCACGCGCTGAGAGCCTGCTGACAGAAATCAAGACTATTTTAAAAGGTTCAAACTTTTTTTAACTGCTTGTCAGGAAAGATGGTGCAGGTTCTATGATTAGCCTTGGCTGATTAAGTTCACAGGATATATGTAAGGAAGGCTTTCATTAATACTGCTCCTGGTTCTTATCACAGAATGACTGGCTCTGAAATTGGCTTGTACCTGACAGATATAGAACTGCTATCACATTCTCTAATTAGCCAGCCATCCAGTTGAGAAAAGATCTTCAGCTCTGAAAATGGCAAGTTGATCTGAAAAACCCATCTGTGCTGACAAGGTTTGGTGAACTTAATTGTATTGTTGTTGTTGTTATTATTATTGAGTTAATTTTATTATTGGTCAAACTTATTAACTTAAAATCTCAGGGGCTACTTCAAGTAAATACATTAGATCAAAGAGGTTCAGCTGACCAAGAATTGCTGACAAATGATTAAATTCTGTGTGGGTCTCAGTTTTCAGTGACAGGTACATGCCTAGTGGCTGATCTGTTTGTGCAATTCCACAAACCTGGATGACCTTCTGAATGTATATAAGCAGGAGGCTTTTTTTAGAAAGGAAAATTTAAAAGATAAAAAAAAATAAGTAGTAGGGAGAATCAATGAATTATGAATAATTTACTGCCATTGTGAGAATATCATTGAGTAGCTGTAATGAAGCACACGTAAAAGGACGAAAATATTCTTTAATAAATTCACAAGGAACACTCAGGAGATCGTAGGAGAAAAATGCGTCCTTGCGCCATAAAATTCCAACTGAGGAGGGAATGAGGGGACTCTGGAGGAGGATGCAGAGTAGGCGGAGAGCAGAAAACCAGGGAAAATTACATAAGGAGAGACCAGGGTGGTGATGATGGTGGGAGGAGCCAGGGAGGAATCAGGAGAAGGAGCAGCCAGGCTTGGACCCAAAGTGCAGCCTGGATGATGGCCCACGGTGGAGTCGAGGAAGGGTGGAGACTCGGCAGACGACTCCAGGGGGACAACTGACTGAGACAAGGCCGATGGAAGTAGAGCCCTGGGCACAGACGAAGAGCCTGCGAGACCGTGTGCCGCGGTGACAAGAGTCCGAGGTGGAGCCAGAGGACTGAGGTGGAGCTGGAGGGAAGGCTGAGCCAGATGGAGCCAAAGGGGTGGAGGGGCAAAGCGTAGCTTAAGGTCTTTAAGTCTGTGGTGCAGACAGGGTGATATCTGACCAAGGTAGAGCCGGAGGGACGAGGGAGCCCTGTGAATCTGTAAGGACGATGGTCCCAGGTGGAGCCGAGGCAGGGAGGAACCAAGGCAGAGCCGACTGGTCAACGGGCCAAGGGGCCATCAGTGGCTAGAGACGGACCCGGGGGATCCTCTTTACTAGGTGGAGCTGGAGACCGGAAGACCAGAGCCAATTCCACACCGTAGAGTGGCATCAGAGGAGAAGCCGAAAGGCTGAAGGAAACAAGCAGAGGCAGGGCTGAGAAACTGGCTGTTATTGGAAGAGGAGGTGGAAAATGGAGGCTGGGAGGGAACTCTGGAGACACAGGAGACTTTGAGCTGGGTGGAACCAGCGGGGACGGGAGATTCATGCAAACATCATCTTCAAAATAATATATTACAGACGCCAGCTTCAGCTCACCCTCCCCATTCCTTCGTACTCCACTAATACTCCCATGGCAGCACATGATGTTGCCGGCTCACGCACCTGGTCAGACATTTCATGAGGCTTGGGCTCCGGGGCGATGGTTGGCTCAGTCGTTGTACTGGTGCTGGCTCATGCACCGCTGCAGTCTCTAGCCATGCAGTGGGGTGAAGGTTGGCTGGGCTCTGGTCCAGAGTGGTGACGTCCTCCTCTGGGCAGATGGTGAAAGCCGATACATTATTCACCAGGACCCACTCCACAAAAGCGGCGAAATCCTCTCAAGGACCGTTCCTTGGGAGGCGTGCCTTGGACCGTTAGGGACGTCAAATCCAAAAAATATATTGTGTGGTCCTCCAGAGAGCAGTCCTTCTGCTCCAGACATAGTGGTTGGACAGCAGGCAGGTCCATTTGTGAGGGGGAGAGGGAAAACAACCAGGGAAACTAACAAGAGAACTATAAGGGCGTTCTCACACTGGCAGTTTAGTTCGGAACGGGGCACAGTTCGCATAAAAAATTGCTTATGTGAAAGCTGTCATGCGGACCCGGATACTGAACCCCGAGACCTCCTGAAGGAGATGGTCTGAGTTCGGCTGCACACGAACTGTGGCATGATTTGCGTGAATGTGAAAACAACACGGACTCGGGTGCGCGCTTTTTCAGGAAGCAAACCCGCGCATGCATTTTAGCCGATTACAATGTATTTAGTTAAATAAAACACATGTAAGGAAGGATATTGTTGATGATTTACCTTGGATACGAGCTAGAGTGAGCCTGCATTGTATTCGCACATAGCGAGTGCAATCAGCAAATGGTGTATTTGCCATAATTAAATCCATAATTTGAGTGATTATGTGATCATATCCTCTGTATTCATCTCTGGACATCATTATCCCGACACAAATCTCATGAACCTCATTGTCATTAATTATACAGGGCAAGGCAAAGGTTCACATGCATGATTACCGATAGACATTAATTTGGTCTGTCATGTCAGATAATCTATGGCAGTATTTC